ATTATATCAAGAACGCTACTAAAGAACAAACCAGATTTGACCAGTGGTTACCATGTGTGAAGGAGGAAGGACTTTTGCTTAGGGGGCATTGAATTTATGTTAATTGTGGCAGAATAATTTGGAAAAGGATATGAATAATGGTTGTGCAACACAGAGTATAATCATTGGCGCAGGAGTATACACGTAGAAGTTGTTGAATTGGAGAATGTTTTGTTGTGTATATTTTTGCCACAATTATGAAAAAATACATGAATGACAATGAGTATAAGCAAGAAAAATGTTCTAGAATTGATTGTGGTGATGCTTGTACAAATCCTCTTGATTGAATTATTGAATTATATTACATGTGATGAAGTGCCAATAAAACTTTTAAAAAGTAAGAAATTTTATCACTTTAGCTCTTACATCTTAAGCCTCTGGTGCATTTTGAGTTGACTTTCTTATATACTGTATATACTTGAGTATAAGTCAACCCAAATGTCAGCCGAGGCAGCCAATTTTACTACAAAAGCTGCATTAAAAATGTGGTGGTAAAAATGGTTTATACGCAAGTATTTACAGTAAGATGTGAGATAACATTACCATTTATTTATTTACTTATGCAAATGAATATTGAACAGCCCCAGCATCATTGGCTGCAAAATATTACTCTTCATCTAATTGTCTTATACCTTCCTTGAAAAGCAATTGACCATAAAAGTAAGAACTTATTTCAGAACTCTCAATCCTTTACCATTTATTGTTGTAGCTATCCTTACACTAGTACTAAAACATGTGATTTCTGTAGATTTACAGTAAGTTCTGTCAAATGTGAAATTTTCAACTTTGTTCTTTTTTATTTTCTTTGACTATTCTAGTTCTTTGCCCTTCCAGATAAGTTTTAGAATTCATTTTTTCCTTATCACAGAGAGCCTTCTGGGATGATTTTAATTGGAATTCATCTTAATCTGTTGATCGCTTTGGGGAGAATTGGCATCTTGTTAATACTGAGCCTTTCAATTTTTGAACAGTACATATTGCCATTTATTTAACCCTACTTAGGTGCCTTCCTTAGTATTTTATATTTTCAGCATATAGATGTTATACTTGTTTGGTTAGATTTACACATAACATACATATTGGGTTGTACAATTATAAACAATATTTTCAAATTTTAATTTACCCTCTTTCATCAATAGGTAACATCTGATAAACCCTTATCAGTTTAATTTTCCCAAGTTGTTTCTCAGTATGGCAAAATTAGAAATCATATCTTAAAAAATAGAGTGGTAGTGTCTATTTTTAAATTATAGCTTGCAAAGGTTTCTTTAAAATGTTAAAAAACAAAGACGTCACTTTGAGGACTAAGATGTATCATGGTAGGAAGGTAATAAAAAAAGCATTGCTTTTAAATTATGTTGTGAGGTACTATTGACCTTGTTCCAACTCATAGACACCCATGTCCATAACAGTTATTGTGTTTCAGCCCATAATTGCAGCCACTGTTAATCCACTTCCTTGAAGGTCTTCCTCTTTTTTCCTGTCCCTCTACTTCACTAAAAATTATACCTTTGTCAGGGCACTTGTCTCCTTTGATAACATGTATCCAAAATATATGAGACAGTGTCTCCACATTACTGCTTCTAAGGAATGTTCAGGTTCTCCGGCTTCCAAAACAGATGTTTCATTTTGATGGCAATCTGTGTTTGTCCAGTGTCCAATACCATAATTCAAATTTTACATGCATATGATTCAATTGAAAATACCATGGCTTACATCTTAGTCCTCAAAGTGACATCTTTACTTCTTACCCAGTAGACTTGTCCAATGCAATACATCATTTGATTTCTTGACTGCTGCTTCCATGAGCTGTGATGATGGATCCAAGTAAAACAGAATTATTAACAGCTTCAGTCTTTTCTCTTTATATCATGATGTTGTTTATTGGCCTAGTTGTGAAGATTTTTGTTTGTTTAACATTGAGTTGTAATGCATACAGAAGACTGTAGTAGACAGGTTGTCACTTGTCTTTTAGTTTATTGTACTGTAACCCCTGGAGCTATGTAACTGGTGTTTCAGTGACCAGCAGGGTTGTACATTGTCAGCAGGTTTCGGTGGAGCTTCTAGAATAAGACAGACTAGGAAGAGGAACAGCTAGAGCACTCCGTAAAAATTAGCCACTGAGACTCTTATGAATAGCATATATACCAGCATATAATATTCCCAGGAATATTATCAGACATAGTATCAGTTCATAAGGCCTACAGGTTGGAAGACATTCAAAATGAGAGTGGGAAAGATTGGGCTTATTGGAGTATAGTTGACCTTTATGACATTGGTGGATCAAAGATTTCAGAGATCTTCATTTATGGATATGGAACAACTCAAACTGTGAATAAATAACTACAGCCATCCATTGATAGTCAGAACTTGGAATGTACGAAGTATGAATACAGGAAGATGCCCCAAGTGAAGCCAGAGGAAGTCAGCCTTGGCCCCCACACCATCTTCTCAAAACTTCAATCATGAAGAAATTGAAGAATTCTACCAACCTTCTCAGTTGGAAATCGATAATCAGATTATCAAGATGCATTGATAATTACTGGTTATTAGAATGTGAAAGTTGCAAACTAAGAGAAAGGATCAGTAGTTGGAACATATGGGCTTGGTAATTGAAATGATGTTGGGGATTGAACTATAGGATTTTGCAAACCAGTGATGTATCCATGGCAAATACCTTTTCAACAACTGAAATGGTGACTATACACATGGAGCCCATCAGATAGAATACACAGGAGTCAAATCAAGTACATCTGAGGAGAAGTGTAATATCATCAGCCAGTGCATGGCTAGGAGTCAGCTTAGAACAGACCATTGATTGCTCATATGAAAGTTCAGATTGAAGCTAAAGAAAATGAAAACCAGTCTATGAGAGCCAAAATAAGATCCTAAGTATTTGGCCCACCTAAATGTAGAGACCATAAAGAACAAGTTGAGTCACTGAACACTAATGATTGAAGGTCAGATGAGTTGTGGGTTGCTATCAAGAACATCAGACATGAAGAAAGCTAAAACTCATTGAAAAGAAAGAAAGACAAGGACAAAATTGATGTCAGAAGAGAACAAATCATAGAAACCCTTATTTAACAAAAATGCCAAAACACGACGCCATTGTTACTCAACACCCTCTTCTAGGACTTCAAGCTTCTGACGACAGTGTTCCTTTTTACCTAATCCTTCCCCGAAGAGTTCTGCTCTCTTTGGGTTATACCAGGTGGAAATATTAGATTCAGATTATGTTCTTTTAAATGTACTTTGAGTTTGGGAAACAGCAACAACAAAAATATCTAAACGGACATTATCAGGGATGTAGGGTGTATGGATTAAATTTCCCAGAAATGAGCAGTTCCATTGTTGAGATGAAAAAAACAAACAAACTAGGGGCCATATTTTTCCGAGCCCTTTCTTAGCATTGGAGTTTTTCATTTTATTAAAACATCTTTCTAGTAAGTCCCTGTCATCATGCTGTCTTTGAGAAAATCAATCAAGATACCTGTTTGGAATCCCCCCAAGCAGTTACCATAACCTACTGAGCTGATCTATCTTTTTTGAATGTAATTGGCCCAGAAGATCCCATTTTTATTGGACTAAAATTTTAAAGGCATCCTAGGGAAAATAAGTGTATTACTGGGAAAACTGGTCTGCACATGTTTAAACACGTTTTGTTTAAAAAAAGCCTGGTAGCATAGTGGTTACACATTGGGCTGTGATCCACAAGGCCCACAGTTCGAACACCAGCCACTCAGAGGGAGAATGACAGGGCTTTCTACTCCCGTAAAGAATTCAGTCTTGGAAACTCAAAGGAGCAATGCTAGGAGTTGGCACTGACTCGATGGCAGTGCGCTTGGTTTATATATATCTGAACTAGAATACCATTTTTCAGTTGCCTCATATAGATGCAGCAGCTAGACATGAATAAGAAAACCCAAAGAATAGAATGTATTTGAATTATGGTGTTGGTAAAGCATATTGGCTATTCCATGCATTGCTAAAAGAATGAACAAATTTGTGTTTGGAAACACAGCCAGAATGCCCCTTAGGAGCCAGGATGGTGAAATTTGTTTCATGAACTTTGGAAATGTTATTAGGAAGGACTATTCCCTGGAGAGGAAAAGGGTCAACCAAAAAGAGGCAGATTCTTTAAGGGATGGATTGGCCCAGCAGCTGCAACAATGGGCTCAATCAGAGTGTGTTAGCTTGGCTTCCCTAAAGAAGCAACCCCCGCGGCTGCCTGTATGTGTTTGTGTACAGAAAGACATTTATATTGTGAACTGGCTCACGCAGTTGTAGAAGTAAAGTCCAATCTGGTTCAAGTCAGCCTTCTCCTGATTCATGAAAATTCATGAACAGAAATCAAGATGGCAAAGTACAAGTGACGGGGGGCACAGACTGGCAGATGCCGAACAGATTCCCATCATTAGTCAGCTGATGGCTCCTGGGATCAGCAGTTGACACAACAGGAGCGTGAGGAGCCAGGTCCAAGATCCAGCTCCAGTGGCTGGCAAGGGACCAAAGAGGATTAGACTCTGCTAGTTCTCTTTCTTATACAAAAGGCCACGGCCCCAAGGAGGTGTCATCAGGCTGCAACTCAATTGATAGGCTGGTCTCTACCTCTACCCTTTCCCAAGAGTCTGGTTGACATAATAGTCCTTGGCCATTACACACCAAAGTGATTTAGGAGAATGGCACAGGATTAGGCAATGTTTCCTCGTGTTAATACATAGGGTTAGAATGAGTCAGAATCAACCCAGTGACATCTAACAACAATCTGTTTCCAGGAAATAGAGATGAAACACTTTTATAATTTTGATTTCAGACACAGGTCAGTTATTTATTAAGAGTTCCCTGTGAGTCTTTTCACATTACCAGTAATGTAAAAGGCAAACCATTTTTTTTCCTTGAAGGGTTTTGAACAGTCATGTAAGGGCGAACACATAACCTTCTCATTCTTTCTTTTGTAGGTGTTGCAGCTTCCTTGGAAGTCTCAGAAAGCCCTGGGAGTGTCCAAGTCGCCCGAGGTCAGACGGCAGTATTGCCCTGTACTTTCACTACCAGCGCTGCCCTCCTTAACCTCAATGTCATTTGGATGGTCATTCCACTCTCCAATGCTAACCAACCTGAACAGGTACTTCTGTTCCTTGGAAAATGCATCTTCCCCGGGCTTTTTGCAGAAGAGACGCATCAGACAGCACCCTGAGTACCTGGTCGCTTTCTCGAAGCAGGTGGAAATTGCACTGTGGCTGTGCTGTTTTAAGTCAGTCACTATCAGGATACGCAGGCCTCTTTTTAAAAGACATTTTTTTTTTTAAATCAGAAAATGTTAAAAAGGGATCCTATGGAGATTTTTGGGTAGGACACCGGGATTTTATTGAAAGATATGACTGAGACAGGAAATAGCGAGAATGAAAAAATAGGAAAGTAAGGGTATGGTACTAATACAGGTAGGTAAAGGAGTACCTTTTTAAAAAAGTGATAATAGTAAGGAAATAGCATTTAATAGCAATAACACTGAATAACAATAATCTTAGTTATTTGGGTTACTTCAGAGTTATTTAAAAATTAACTTGTCCGGGCACATTATCTAGCTACAAAGAGTTTCAAATCAAATAAATTAGTGGGCCCACAGAAAGAGTGCACCTGCAAATGAAGCTACCACCCAGTATGCAGTGAAAGACCATACTTTTTTATGTTTACTTTGGAAAATAACGCTCAGAAACCTAGTGACTTAAGTTCTTGTACTTTATTCTAAAGTACGGTTTATTTCTTAATGAAACTTTTTCTGTTTCTATAAGCTAATTACAACTCAAAGTATTTGATAATCTATATTTCCTGGTACAAAATCTACATACTCCTATGTGTACTTAATGGACACTTCTTTTGTTTCAACAAATCATGAAATGTTTGTTATTTAGACTGAAATTTCAGCATCATTTTGTTCAACCTCCTCATTGTAGGAGTTAGGGATACAGACAAAAAATGCAAAGAAAATGACTTGACGCCACTTCCCTGAACCGTTACAAATCCACTGCCACTGAGTTAGTCCTGACGTACAGCCACCCTACCTGGGGTCCCCGAGGTCGTCAGTCTTTGGAGGGAGTAGATAGCTGTATCTCTCTCTTGTGAAGGGGCTGGTGGGCTTAAACTGCTGAGCTTACAGTTAGCAGTCTGACATTGACTGACAGTGCCACCAGAGCCTCTTAAGCTTTTACACTGTAGGGCGTAAGCGGGACCTGGGCCCACAGTACCAGCTCCCAAGGCCTTTTGGTGCATAATCTTGAGTCCTTTCCTATCGCCCGTGAATAGTTTGCTTTGCTATTACTCGTATAAATTAACCTTAAGAACAGCAACCATGGGCTTAAGTCTCTTTTTGGGGGAGGGGACATTTGTGTTTCATGGACTCTATAATTATCATCTAGCATTTTGTGACCTAGTAGGCATGAGAATGGCAGTGCAGATTGCTAAGAAACTTTTAGTTTCAGAATTAATTTTTGGGACTTTAAAAAATATTTGTAGGCCGATGTACTAAAGATAATTGTACTCCGAGGAGTTACACAGAGAAAGTGTATTCCAATTTGGAATGTAAGAATGTAGAACCCTGGGAACTTGAGATAGAAATGCTATCAGTACAGTAAAAGGTTGGTGGTAGCCCTATTATTAGTAATTAAATTGTCAACACTATGTCTGCTGTCTACTAGAGAGTTAGCGTTATGAGTCTAGGAGCAGGTACAATGACTGATTACTTATTTTGCTTTCTCTTGCAGGTCATCCTCTATCAGGGTGGACAGATGTTTGATGGAGCCCCCCGATTCCATGGTAGGGTAGGATTTACAGGCACCATGCCAACCACCAATGTCTCCATCTTCATTAATAACACTCAGTTGTCAGACACAGGCACCTACCAGTGTTTGGTGAACAACCTGCCAGACCGAGGGGGCAGGAACATTGGGGTCATTGGTCTCACAGTGTTAGGTAAGTGACAGGCAATGTTACAGCCACCTTGAGCTTTCTGATGGATCTCCTCTCAAGCATGTTCACTCTGCTCTTCCTTCTACAGTCCCATCCCCTGGTGCCCTCTTCTGGTCTTCTCTTCTCTCCATCCCCTCTCTACTCTGCTTCCACATGTTTTTCACACACAATGTTCCCCACCATTTTCGCTATAGGCAACTCCATAGAGCTTACTTCTTAAGTGATATTTTTTTCTGGAGGATGGAAAAGGTGGAATACAATATCACCAAAATTAGCCGATTATGTTTCTTAAACGTTTACAGGACAGAACTTAATATTGAGAGCAAATTAAGTCAATTATTATATGTGATAAGACTCAAGCTGATGTTGCAGCACGTGGGAGAACAATGCTACACTCTGGTGTGTCTGTGTGACACTGAGTAGATGTCCTCGGGACACCTGCATTCCCTGCTGTTGAGTCGCACACTCCTTTGCTCACTCGTTTTTGAATGAATGAGCGCATTGACTGAACAGTTATTAGCATTAAACACATAACATCGCTTTACTTAAGCTCGACTCCCCACATTCTTCAAAGGGAACCTCAGAGGCCATGAGCTTCATGTGTATTTCTTAAAACTGGTGTTTTACTACAAATTATCACCTTCTTCCTTTAGTATACTTTTTTGAAACATTTTTTATTTTTCATGTCATTGAGGCCTGATTTGACCTAAATATTGTAAAAAATATTGTAAAAAAAAAAAAAATCTTACTATCAATTAGTAGATGTACTCGAACCTCAGCTAACCCTTCCCATCATAAAACGGAAGCTGTTATATAAAGTGATTTGTTTTTAAAAGTACTGAGGTGTCTT